GTCTCATAAATAAATAAGAAACCATTAAAAAATGTTTTTAAAATTATGCTAATTGAATTTATTCAAAATTTATAAATTTAACTGAATATGCAACCTTTCTTTGGTTATGTCGTTTGTATCTTAACAAAATTATTATTTAAATGGTCTAGTGTGCCGTCTTATTAAATAATGTAACCGTTTTTAGCTACGATGCGAATCTGAGAAGATATTGGTTTTACTAAGATGTGTTTTTTTTTTTTTGTGTCTGTTACCACTTTTTCTCAGATCTCACCGAACCGATTTCTTTCAATGATACGTCAAAATGTAATGTAATGTAATGCACTTTATTATGGAAAAAAAAATTTTGTACTTTATTTTGTCTTCAGGGTGAAATTGGTTACCGAATGCTATTTTTGTGTGAAAATTATCGATTTTATTTTTTTATTTTTAACTTTATAATGCTATAACTTATTGAAATGTGTATGGATCAACATAATTTTTTTATGAGAAATAATAATTTTTAATAATCCCTTTTTTCATTCGATATACTTTATCTGAATCAGGATAACGAACTAGCAGATCATGTTGCTTTTGGAATAATCCACCAATTTTTTAAAATTAAACACTATCTAAAGATTTGCATCGAAGTGTTTTTTTTGATAGTGATTTTAATAACTATCAGATATCATAATACTTGATCCAACTAATGCACGTCACCACTGTGCCGCGACCCCCCTGTGCTGGGTTTTTTAAATATTGTTTTTATTAGTGATTTTTCTCAAAATTTGTTCAAACGTCTTAATTGATATATTATTTATTACCACTATTCAAAATTATTTGATATGTGATTTTTACTAAACAGGGTTTTGAAACAAATATATAAATAAAATATCATAAACAATAGTACCACTGAAATAATTTATTAAAGAAATATGGTTTACTATAAATTGTTTAACTAAAAATGTATTAAAACTATGTTATAGTATATCGAAAATCATACAAGTAGTGACAAAATTTTGTTAAACATTAAGAGTTTTATTAAAATTATGTGTTCACTTTTTTGTTTAAATAATGATCAAAGAGATACTTATTTTGGTGATTGTAGTAATTAATTGATTAATTAATTAAAAATAATATTTCAATGTGATGTTTTGGTGATAATTAGTGTTGGTTTTTTATATTTTTTACTTAAGTGGTACTATAAAATTCTATATATACTTATTGCAAACTTATAAAACTTAACCGTAAACTACTTATTTATACATTTAATTAAGTGAAATATTAAAATAATTAAGAAGCTAAATAACTAAATTGAAGCTAAGGTTATACTAAATTTACATGTTTATAAATTTTATAAACAGTTTATCTGTAGTCTTTTTTGTGTTAATCCAATAAAACTTCAATTTTTGTGACATATGAACCAAAAGATTCTATTTTTGATGCTTAATAAATATTAAGAAGAAGTATCTGGTTTTCATGACATGAGTTATTTAAGTTGAATAATTTAATATAATCAGCAAAAGATAAATTTAAAATTTGATATTAACTTTTTGAATGTTCCACAGGGATCGAAATAGCTTTATAATATATTAAAAAAAATATTATTTATATTATCTATACTAGATTTAAAACATGACATAAACTAATATTAATGTTTTGCATTTGCGTTAAATTTATCAAACTTTAGAATAATTTTATATGAACATTTTAGTCATAGAAGATTATACATTATTGGTAATATATGATACAGTAAGAAATAGTTATAAAATAAAGATCTATTGCTTGTCGTCTCATGATAGAAATATAATACTAAAAATAAAAAGTTGCTTGGAATATTACTTTATTTAATGTACATTTTCTACTTATAAGTCGGAAATAAAGTTGAAGTATTAACTGATTTTTGTTATCTTGATAAATAATCAAAAATATTTTTTTGGTCTAAGACAAATATATTGTATTACAAAAGCAATTCATGCAAACATCAAAATTAATAATTTACATTTGTAATAATATTATGTGTATAGACTCTATACTATAGAGGGTAATATTTCAATGTATTTTAATAATTTTTGTTAAATTTAAATTGTAAAAAATTCTATAAAAAAAATCGTTTTTGTACAAAATTATTCATTTATCCATAAATCAAATATATAATCACAAAATAAAAATAATAATTGCGATTTTTTTACTTGATTTCTTTTGGGTATATAATATATACCCAAAAGAAATCAAAAATATTTCATGATTGATAAATAAAAAAATATATATTATATATTTTTTTATTTATCAATCATGAAATATTTTACACTGTACATTTTGGTAATAATTACCAAGGCAAAGGTCGAGGGTAGTATAGCTTCCAAAAGTTAAAAATTCATATTGAAAAATGTTCAAAAAATAAGTGACATTATTTTTTTCAAACCAACCTACAAAAAAATAGCTATTTTACGCCTACGGATATTGATAGTTGAATTTTTAATTTATTAAAAGTTTATTTTTAGAACGAAATTAAAAAAATATATATTAATAATAAATAATATAATTATTTAATGTTTTATTTTAATATAATATAGAATTATGTAATAATCCTTTTCATATAGTAAGATAATGTTATACTATTTGTATTATTATATGAAGTGGACAGTAAATTTATATTGCAAAATATCAACACTTTTTATATGTATAGCCAGTATTGAGCATAATTCGGGAATTTATGCATTTATAAAATTTGTTTAAACCAAACAATTTGTTTAAATTCCATGAAAAACGCTCGTATGTGTATATTATACGTCAAGATTAATTTTTTACTATAGTGATCCCACCTACGGTTCCCAAAACTGAATTTCTAATTAATATACACTGTTAAGTTTCAAGAAAATTAACATCCATATATATTTACCATTATAAAACCATTATAAATTATTATAAAATCATTATAAATGAATCAAACCCTGTATACTGATAAAAAGTCAAACATCAATTAAAATAATTATTATGGTTATTGACTAAATCAAGAACAATCTTTGACTCCCTAACATGTGAAAAAAGGCTATCACCCTTTGTAGTATGTTAAGTTCGGCAAATGAAAATATTGTGAATAGGTATCATTTAACTTAAAACTCTGATAATTGCAAACTAGTAGAGATCCACTGAATAAAAATTTATTACTTTTACAATTTAATAGGTTTTTTAACTAATAAGCACATTAGTTACATAACAATATTTTTTACAATGAGCAGACATTTAAATCTGATATATACTCAACAAAATATTATCTTTTGTAAAAATCTACAAATATTTTAAATGTTAGCTCAATCTTTAACTATATTTATAATAACTAATTCTAGAACAATTGTTACTCAACTGGTCCATTCACAAAAATACGTATAGTGAATCTGTTAGTACCACTCAAGGAAATATTAAGACCTTAAATGATAAAAAATATTTCTTTTAACTTCGATGCGAAGCTGAGAAGGTATTAATTTTACCATGATGTGTTTTTTTTTCTTAGCTCCTGCCGAACTGATTTTTCTTAACAATACGTCAAAATATCACAAATCATATCTAGTTGAAGTCATTACACTCAAAAATTAAAAAATTTTCTCTCATTCCCAATAAACGGTGAAAATCACCAAAAAATTTACAATTTTTAAAATTGTTAAATTTTGAAATTTCTTTCACTTTTTTTAAAAAAATTGCCATAGCATATTGATAAATAAATGAATCAAAATAATTTTTTTTATAATGAAATCTTACATATTTCCCTTTTATTTGATATCATTTTTTTGAAAATCTAACTCTTAACCTGCTCACAGAGGGGAATTAAAATAGCAACTTTTTTTATGAAAATTAACTTTTGAAATTGTGTACGGAAATACTGTGTCCTTTAAACATATATCAAATTTAAGCTTATATCATGTACTATAAAATGAAAAAAACACGAAGACTTATCTTCTATGTGCAAATAGCTGCCATAGTTAAAAACATGCTATTTTTGTGTAAAAAATCTGTGTTTTGTATTTTATTTTATTTTAAAATATCTTACAAGTGGAATACACTGAGTTTCTGAAATATTATATAATTTAATTGATACAGAATAAATTTCATATGACATAAAAAGTAACAATTATTTACATTTTTTTGGTTTTTTAAGTCGAAAAAGTAACTTTACCACCTATGGCAATTAGTATATTGCATATTTTTAAATTTTAAAAGTTTTCAAATCATCTCATTTTTATCTAATTTAGATACAATAACTTCAATAAATATCAAGGATCCCATCACTGTAGTCTCCACTCATGAAAAGAAATTTCTAATTTATGTTAATATTATTTTACTATGGGATTTTTTTTGTGGCTGCAATTTATTTTCCAAATCCTTAACCTACTTTTTTCAATGATACGTCAAATGATCACAATTCGCATTTAGTTAAATATATTACCCTCAAAAATTGAAAACAAATCCCTTATATTATAATATATTATATTTTTGTATCTAAGAATTACTAATCTATAGTAAATAAGAAAATAGTAGTAGATGTTGTTTTTGTAATTATCCTAAAATTTCTTATGATTAAACACTATTTACAGATTTGCATCGAAGCATTTCTTATGATAGTGATTTTAATACGTCACTACTGTGGCGCGACCCCATTGCGCGGAATTATTTTTTAATTAATTGAAAAAACTATTGCCAAAACATTGAAATAAAAATTTCATATAAAGAAATTTATATTCCATTTTTATCGAAAATATTTTTTTTCTGAAATTATATTTTTAAACATACGTCTAATACATTTATTATATTAAACAAATTAATCAAAAGAATTTTTAGTTTATGACAATATATTGTTTATTGATTAACAATTACTTAAAAAATTATTCACAATATTTTTAAATCATCATTTTTAACAATAAATTTAAGTATTTAGATATATTATAATGTATAGTAGGATTTTTTACTTAACACATTAAAATATGTGCAATATTAAATTTGAATAATAACTGAATAAATAGATTGTACTAGTACTTTAAATGTAAGGATAGTAAAAATTTAATGAGTCAATATCTAATTGCATACATTCCTCTGTATAATGACCATGCGTTAAGCAATAATAGCATCTATAGATACAAAAAAATAACAAAATTTAATCTATTATTTATACTGTTAAATCATTTAATAATTACCGTTGGCCATAAATATCTCCAACTATTTCAACATCTATGGCCCAATTCGGCTGTGAATCATTGACCACAAACTTTGCTTTTTGTGGAGATTTATAATATTTATAAGTACCAACAATATCTTTCTAAATAAAAAGACAATTTTAAAGGATTTTTGTATTTTTTTGAAATAAAAAATATATATTATCAACTTCATGTCTACACCGAGAAACATAATTTTTGAGGAAAACAAAAATGCGCTATTTTTATGTAGTTTAAAGTAAATTTTTTATGTTTAATGCCTAATTACTACAAAAAAAATTTAAGATTATTTATTTTGGTATACGAATACTTAGTTTAATTAATTTATGTATTAAAAACTTGACTAGTTTTTTTAAAACGCAGGTTCTGTCATGTATATGACAATAAAATAATATGCCTACCTTATAAAATTTATAACATTTTCCATTTTTTGAAATTATTCTACCGGCTCCATTATTCATTCCAAAATAGCGTATAACACCTTCTTCGTGTTTACGCGTTTCCATGGACACTTCTTCTTCAATAGGTGTTACTTCCAGTTCTGGCGAATCATTATTTGGGTGATCCTCTTCATTAAAAATATAGGAAATGCAAAAGTCATTCATATCATCGTGTAAATCCTTATTTTGCATAGCAAACATATCTTCACCATTCTCTTGCTTAACTGCCAACAAATCTTCTATACAATCAATTTTGAGCTCTGGGGCACTATTATTTGAGTGATCCTGTTCAGTAAAAATATAGGAAATGCAAAAGTCATTCATATCATCGTGTAAATTCTTTTTTTCCACAGCAAATATATCTTCACCATTCTCTTGCTTAACTGCCAACAAATCTTCTATACAATCAATTTTGATCTCTGGGGTACTATTATTTGAGTGATCCTCTTCAGTAAAAATATATGAAATGCAAAGGTCATTCACATCATCGTGTAAATTCATATTTTCCTCAGTAATCATACCTTCACCATTCTCTTGCTTAACTGCCAACAAATCTTCTATACAATCTACTATGAGCTCTGTTCCACTATTATTTGAAGGATCCTCCTCAGTTAAAGTATTGGAAATGCAAAGGTCATTCATATCTTCAGGTAAATACATATTTTCCTCAGTAATCATATCTTCAACATTCTCTTGCTTAACTGCCAACAAATCTTCTATACAATCAATTTTGAGCTCTGGGGCACTATTATTTGAGGGATCCTCCTCAGTTAAAGTATTGGAAATGCAAATGTCATTTGTATCTTCAGATAAATTAATATTTTCCACAACAATCATATCGTCGCCATTATCTTGTTTTACAATTGACACACTATCTACTGACACTTCATTTTGTACATCGATATCATTCATTTGTGTTGTGCTACATTCTATGTTTTTAACATCTAGTTGTACATCACCTGACATAATTTCTAATTAATATTTCGAATTTCATTATTATTATAGTCTACACAATTATTACAAAATTATATATTTTTGATAATATGAACATAATATCTTACTAAAATTCCATTAAAAGTGAATTTTTTAAAAGTTAATTGTTACAATAGTGACACTACAGGGATATATTATTATATTTACTAAGCAACTAGACTTAAATAATGCAGAAACGATATATTTTTTCTTTTAGTAACATTCTTATAATAAGTATATAAAATAAGTATCCTATAAGTCCATTTTTAAGCTACTGTCCAAAAACATCAATATCACACTATTTGAGGTATGCTAAGAGGGAATATAGGGTTCTGAAAACCCATTTGAGAATAAATAACGTTTTATAGATACATTTTTATTTTTATTGGAGGAGTTAGCAAAATATTGTTGATTGTTTGTTTCCTGCCTAAAAATGATGTAATAAGCGTCAGAGCTAACAGTACAGAAGAATTTTCTGAGCATGAACTTATAAGTTCATATGGAGTTCACATTATTATGACAAACAATGAGTGAAACAATAGTTTTAACTAGCTAGATGTCTTAACATTTGTTAAATCACATTTGTTTTGTTTTTTTTATCCTTATATTTAGTAGCATTTCTTTTGTATAAAAAAATATTGACTTTATTTTATTTCAATTATTAACTTTAATAACGTGATGTATATGATTGAATTGAAAATGAATAAACTTCCAAGAGCCTCTAAAANGTAGGTTATATAAAGAACCGTTAGTTTTAAAAACTAATAAAAGTTGTAAATTTTACGACGTTACTTTTATTTAGAAAAAGAGTATTATTTTTAATTTTCAATTTGGAGTAAATTATTAACAAAATATTTTATTGATACTTTAAACGTGTATGTATTTGATTGAATTTAAAATGAATAAACTTCCATAAATCACAAAATTTATCCCTTAAAATCTAAATATTTTGACTGCAATAGAACTCGCTTACTAAAAAAATGTAATTTTATAATATCATGACATCAAAAAGTATCATTTATAAAATTTATTTATTTAAAATAATATTTTAGATAAATATTATATTAAATATACATAATTCTTATTTATCTATATTTTAAAAATTTAGACAAAAGTATGAAATCAATGTATTAAACAAACTAATATTAGATACATCGTCTCATTAATGTAATCATCTACAAAAATATTAACAGCACTTATATTCTATAATTAATTGTTAAGCTTATAGTCTTAAAAACGTCTTAGGTAATAGTCAACCGATATTTACAATTGTAAATATAATATTTCACTTAAAATTGTTCTATTTTTTCCAGCTTAATGTATTATTCATCCCATTATGCAATATAAAATTTTAATATAGTAAATTATTTATTATGTTAAAGTATATTTCTATCTTTCTGCATTTTCCAATATTCTTTTTTGTAAATNATGTCATTTATAAAATTAACTTATGTAAAATATAAGTCAATGTATGAAATCAATGTTTTAGACATACTAATGTTACATCGTCTCATTAATGTAATCATCTACAAAAACATTAACCGATATTAACAATAGTAATTATAATATTCCATAGGAAATTGTTCTATTTTTTCCAGCTTAATGTATTATTCATCCCATTATGCAATATAAAATTTTAAACTTTTTTGTATATAATTGGTATTATTCGTTAAAAATATAATTGAGCTATAATAAACTAAGATACTTTACCACTTGTATTATGCTTTTTGTTTTCCGAAACACAGCACTTAAATAATGTTGCCAATCGACGAAAAAACCTCCTCACCTTCATTTTAATAATGTTATTTACTATAAAATAAATGTATCAAATTATGTTTTACAAAATTTTTAATGATTATCAGTAATTCNTATTTTTTCCAGCTTAATGTATTATTCATCCCATTATGCAATATAAAATTTTAATATAGTAAATTATTTATTATGTTAAAGTATATTTCTATCTTTCTGCATTTTCCAATATTCTTTTTTGTAAATAATTTGGTATTATTCGTTAAAAAAATATCTGAGCTATAATAAACTAAGATACATTACCACTTGTATTATGCTTTTTGTTCTCCGAAACACAGCACTTAAATAATGTTGCCAATCGACGAAAAAACCTCCTCATTTTCATTTTAATAATTTTATATATAATAAAATAAATGTATCAAATTATGTTTTACAAAATTTTTAATGATTATCAGTAATTCAATACAAGCACAGAAAAATAGTTTTTTTTAANTATAATTGAGCTATAATAAACTAAGATACTTTACCACTTGTATTATGCTTTTTGTTTTCCGAAACACAGCACTTAAATAATGTTGCCAATCGACGAAAAAACCTCTTCACCTTCATTTTAATAATGTTATTTACTATAAAATAAATGTATCAAATTATGTTTTACAAAATTTTTAATGATTATCAGTAATTCAATACAAGCACAGAAAAATAGTTTTTTTTAAACAAAATCAAACAACAAACTAATTTATATTTGATTGTAAACATTTGTGTATAAATATTATGTATCACNTTTGATTGTAAACATTTGTGTATAAATATTAAGTATCACGTAGCAACTTAATTTACTATTTTTATGATCAGAATACACTTAAAGAATCAATTAAAATATTATCAAAAAAACCATCCAATTTTAATTTTTTTTACAACATTAGACAAAAGCTAAAATATGATTGTTTAGGAGGTCATGTGAATTTCGATTTTTAATTTTATAATCGGTTTGTTACAAGATTAATATTTGGAAATTATTCAGTATTTAATTTTTTTACAGTACACTCCTATTTCTTGAGTAATCCATAATACACTCTATTATAAATAATCAAATGAAAATATTATTGTACTTTTTCAAATAACTCATAACTTATTTATTTTATAATATTTCACACAATTGCTAAATAGTTTTAAAATGTTATCATCGTTCAGTACAAAAACATCCATAAGTGTTAATGGAGTGGTTGAGTCTTTAATTTCTGGAATAACCCAAAATAATTATACAAATTACACATACTATTTTATGTTTGAAATGGTAGTTTTAATATGACTTGATTGAAAATTAAGGTGTCTTCTTGTTACACTAAAAATAACATTTTGTTTTGTAAAATGAGGTCTTCTACAATGAAAGAAAATAAAATTTCCAAAAGTAATTTATAAGTAAAAGGTTTTTATGTTGTTGATAATTTTAACGTTTCTTAATTTATTATTACCCATTCATTTGTTAAAATTAAAAGTACTAAACTTAATTGAATCACAATAATTTGGCACTTTAAACTTATCAAATTAACACGATTTTAATTAAAATCTGTAATAAAAATATTAAATACGGAAATGTTTTTTGACAACAAAAATGTGATGTTTTATGTTGGTAACTACTAATTTAATGATACGTTGTAAACTTGTAATTGTTGATAAGAAAAAGTATTGATGTTCGAGTTTGATTAATGTGTGTAACATGCCTTAATAATTAAATTAAATATTGTGTTAATTTGTATTTATTAATAATAAATAATAAAATAATAAAGAACACAAAATTGGCGACGAAGATGGGATCCGCAAGTCAATAAAAAACGCACAGGTAATTGGATCAATAGAGATAAAAAAAAATAAAAGTAAACCACACATGGCTAAAATAGGTATTATCGAAGAATACAAAATTCAAGATGATTTTGTAAGTTGGGTCGAACGACTAGAATTATTTATGCAAGTAAACAAAATAAAAGAAAATAAAGAAAGTATTTTGCTTACTTTAATTGGTAGCGAGGGGTATAAGATATTGAAATCCTTGTGCACACCTACCTTGCCTAAAGATGTAAGTTATGACAAATTAGTAAGTAATATGATACAACCAAAAGTTTCGGTAGTTGCCGAAAGGTCAAAATTTAGAAATAGCTTACAATCGAGCAATGAGTTAATAACTGAATTTGTGACTAAATTGCAATAGTTATCTATGTTGTGCGATTTTGGAAATAATTTGGAAGAATCTTTAAGAGACCAAATTGTACACGGAGTAAAAGACAGAACTCTGAAGAAAAAACTGTGCGAAGAAGCGGACCTAACATATGAGAAGGCGAAAGAAATATGTCAAGCACATGAAGGTGCAGAAAAAAGTTTGGAGAATTTTGGGCAATTCAGCAATGAATGCCAAGGAGAAATTTATTTTGCTAACAAGAAGTTCACACGAACAGCTCAAAACCGAAGTGGCAAGATCACTGTCAACGGAGGAAATGTTACTTGTACTTGTTGCGGTACGAAGAATCATGTTTTTAATGATTGTTATTTTAAAGACCGTAATTGCAATATTTGTCATAAAAAAGGACATTTAAAGAGTGTTTGTTATTTTAAAGGTAAAACTGACAAAAGTCGACCAAAGTCTTCACATTATTCTTAAGTTAAAAGTAAAAATTATGGTAATAATTATATTGGTACAATGGATAGAAAAGTTTCTGACAATGAAGTCAATGAATCTAATAATTTTTTAGATAATGATAATTTAAATATTGATACATTATTTCAAATTGAACAGATAGGCTCAAAGAATGAAAATTTATTTATTATGGTACAGATTGAAAATAAAATGGTAAAAATGCAATTAGATACAGGATCGGCTATTTCAGCAATTTCTTTTTCTGAATATAGAAATAATTTTAAATATTTACCCTTAGTTGATACTAAGATCAATTTAAAAAGCTATTCTGGTGAATATATTGTACCAGTTGGAGTAATCAATGTGAAGGTTAAATTTAATGAGAAAAATTTCAGTTTACCATTGTATATTATTGAAAACAGCGGACCGCCTCTTCTATGAAATGAATGGATTATAGTTTTAGGTATTAAAATAAATATTAACCTTGAAATAAATAGTATTACTGAAGATTTTACATGTAATGTAAAAGAATTAATAAGTAGTTTTCCAGAAGTTTTTACAGATAAATTAGGTACTTATAATAAAAATAAAAATAAATGTAAATTATTTTTAAATGATAATTTTAAACCAATTTTTTTAAAACCCAGATCTTTGCCATTTAGCATTAAAGACCAAGTAGGATTTGAATTAGACAGATTAGTTCAAGAAGGTATTTTAACACCTATTGAGACTGGTGACTATGGAATTCCAATAGTTCCAGTATTAAAGACTAATGGTACTATTCGCATTTGTGGTGACTATAAAGTCACAATTAATCCTTATTTGAAGGTAGATAGGTACCCATTACCTCGAATAAAAGATTTATTTTCAAACAAAATGAAATTAAAAACTCAAAATACAACTGAAAACAAACAAAAAAATAATAAGAAAAATGATAAATCACCTAAATCTCAAAATAAAGGCGCTGCTAAAGAAAAAGTAAAACCTATAAAACCGGCAGTATTGAAAAAAGAAGGTGAAAAAGTGAAAGCTGAACAAAAATCTATAAGTCCTATTAAAGTTTTACAAAATGAGCTATGGACTAAAGCTATCAAAATTGTGGCTGATAAATCTGATTTACCTGATAAAGAAAGTGGTATTGCTAAATTGTTAGCAAACTATTAAAAACAAGACTCAATCCCAAGAAAAGAAACTAAACTTAAGAATTTTATTTTGAAAGGATTTTCTCAATATAAGGATACAGAGAGTGAAATATTGGATAGTTTGTATAATAAAATAAAGGAAGCTTTTGAAAGTTTGGGTGGTCAACCTAAAGATGGTAATTCTGAAACTAAAAATTCCAATAATAAAGTAGAAAAGAGTTCGCCTAAAACAAAAAACCTCAAAAAAGTTGAAGTTAAGAATAGTGATGATGATGATGAGGACGATGATAATGACAAAGAAGATGATATTGATGAAGATGAAGATGATATTGAAGATGCAACATTTGCTGATAGTGATGAAGATGTTGAAGGTGATAATTTAGGAAGTGAAAAAGAAAGTAAACTAAGAAGATCAAAAAGAACTATAAAAAAACCCGTAAAATTGTTAATTGCATAAATATTGTATTTTTTATTTGTTGTATTGTTAACTTATAAATTTTGTTAAATTTCATAAGTGTTGTTAGTTTCATAAATATTGTATTTTTTTTGTTGTACTGTTAAGTGTATAAGTATTGATCTTAAAGGATATATATTTTTAATTTTAATGGGGAAGGATGTGATGTTTTATGTTGGTAACTACTAATTTAATGATATGTTGTAAACTTGTAATTGTTGATAAGAAAAAGTATTGATGTTCGAGTTTGATTAACGTGTGTAACATGCCTTAATAATTAAATTAAATATTGTATTAATTTGTATTTATTAATAATAAATAATAAAATAATAAAGAACACACAAAAAAATAATCGATTTTAATAAATTTATTATTATTGGAAACCTTTAACATAAATCAACGCACAAGAAGATTTTTTTAACGCTAGGCCATTCATTTTTCGATAGTATTCATATCTTAATCGTTGTAAAGATACCACTCAATTTGAAAAATTTAATGATAGATATGAATTCAATTAAATATTTGGAGTGATGTAGACATTAAATGTTTGTTTATCGTTTTTGATAGTTTAGAAAATAGGTTCCTCAGAAGGAAAGCTATTTTCTTGAGTGAAAAAACATTTTGTTTTATCTTCGACGTAAAATTGAGAAGGTATTAATTTTACTATGATGCCACTTTTTTTCAGCTCTCAATGGACCGTTTTTTCTCAAAGATACGTCAAAAGATCACAAATCGTATCTAGTTGCAGATATTACTCTCAAAAATGTTTTCTTCATTTCCCATAAATGATGAAAATCCCCCCAAAAATTACAATTTTTAAATTTGTAATTTTTACATTTTTCTTCTAAAAATTTCCACAACTTTTTGAAAAATGTAAATGTCTGTTACTACTTTTTCTTAGCTCCCGCCTAACCGATTTTTCTTAACAATACGTCAAAAGATCACAAATTGTATCTAGTTGAAGTCATTACACTCAAAAATTAAAAAATATTCTCTCATTCCCAATAAATGGTGAAAATCCCCCGAAAAATTACAATTTTTAAAATTAAATTTTGACATTTCTTTCACTTTTTTTTTTAAAAAAATTGCCATAACTTATTGAAAAATGAATGAATCAAAATAAATTTTTTTTATTGAAACCTTACATATATTTCTTCCATTTTATGTCATTTTTTGGAAATCTAACACATAACATGCTCATAGAAATCTATGTGCAAATAGCTGCCGTAGTTAAAAACATGCTATTTTTGTGTTAAGATTCTGTGTTTTGTATTTTATTTTATATTAAAATATCTTACAAGGGGAATACACTGAGTTTCTGAAATATTATATAATTTAATTGATACAGAATAAATTTCATATGACATAAAAAGTAACAATTATTTACATTTTTTTGGT